GTCGAACGTCTAATGCAGCAAAAAACTTCAATAAAAAGCTATGACTATAATTGCTATTTCTTCTTTCAAATGTTTAATACTTGAAAAAGTATTCATTTGACATTGTGGGTTACCTACAATGCGAAGAGATGGCGCTGCCTTGCAGTTTAAGGCTAGAAAAAGCTATGACTTTGGGTCGCTTCCTAATCTTCAGTCTTTTGAATAGGAGTCGTGGAAGGTTCACGTTACATCCCTTCTCAATGTCTGACGCGCTCGGATATTTTTTTTCCTAAACTACCCCTTCGTATAGCCATAGCCACCACCACACACAAACTGGCACATTAAGGTTAAGTTCTATGACTATACTGGATTATTATTATTGCAGAAAATTTAAAATAATTCTACCCAAGACTTCTTTTCATTATTTTATTTGAATAGTCCTTAGAGTTAAGATGCCAAATGGCATCTCTTTTTTCAATTTCGTCAATGACAAAATCTGTAGATAACATAGTCTTCGCTCCTCATTTTTTCTGCATCTATGCGTCCCTCCGTATCAACCCGCGCGGATCAAATGAAAAGGTCGTTACAGAGTTTTAGAACTTGAACCGCGTGGTGACTGGCGGTTCAAGATCTTGCGCGCGGGTCAATAGCTCATAGAAATCTGAATATCTGTAGAAATTCATATTGCATCGTATCCTGTGATACAGGATATCGACATTCAGTTGACATCCGATGCGATTTATCTGATACCGATGCGCATCGATTTCAAAAATATCTAAAAATGCCCATCTCTAGACTGATCTTGTATCATGCGGTAGATAGTTCCGCGCGGTCATATTAACTTGGCTTTATGTTTTTTCGTCATCAGAAAACTTACCACCTGCGACATGGAGCTCAACTACCACGCACACAGAGCTTATCACAGCGCTGCGCCGGCGTCGATTGTTAGCAGTACACATGTAACATGAGTTTCTGTTCAACTAGAATTAGCTAGCTCCCCAACGACGTTCACAGCGGCGGCATCAATCAGTCTTCAATATTAGACTATTTTTATTGTTTTAAACTTTCATGGTCACTAACATTATAGATATTAACGGGATTGTTACCATGTACCTTGTTTTTTATGAGTCTCCGATATTTCGGCACTGTTGCAAGCGCCATGATCACGGAGTAACTGAAGTAATTGCGGGTAGATGTTATTGGCAGACATATCGGTCTACCCTGACGTCGTCTTTTACTGCGTTCGATACTACCACTACCATTGGTCACATTCTCACTATTCACTCGCATTTGTTCCCGGCACACAATACTCACAGTATCAGTTCGCGGAACGACACTTTTTTGATTTTTGCGATTTTTACACATACGAACCACTGGATTCCACACACTAGACATAAAAAACAAGGTACATGGTAACAATCCCGTTAATATCTATAAAATTAGACTATTTTGTTTATATTTTTTTAGTTTTCAGCAAATCGACGATGGATAGCTGTGTGGTAAGTGCGTTGATTGAAGAAAAGCCACTTTTGCTATGCCCAATCATAGGATGAGTGATCAATAATTTATTATCTCGAGCTCCCGCATGCGTAGAAAAAATCTTTAGCTATCGGTCCCTGCTACATCTACAGTCGCCAGCACTCATGGCCCATTCTTTTTCAACCCACTGGAAAGGCGTGAGCCCCGGCAGCTCTCCAATTTTAGGCATGATGCCGTCATTATGGTAAAGTAATCGAAATTGTTTTAAGTCTGTCTGATTATCAAAAAATAATAAACACAAATGATACATTTTCTTTTATAAATCAACCCAAAAATTATGAAGATAAACCGCATCATAGTTTGGGATTGGGGGCTCGTGACGTCACTTCCAAGTTGAAGTTGTATCAAGACGTGACGTCATACGAAATTTCAAATCTGTACCCCTAGCACGAACCAATATCGAATTCGTATCGTTTGCGAGACCGAAATGTCATTGTCAAATGTGTACTGATTTTTAGTTCTCGTAACGTACTTTGTGCCGCTGCTGTTCAAGATTCCATACAAAATTTGACATTGACATTTCGATTTGCAAAATATTCGAATTCGATAATGGTTCGTGCTAGGGGTAACAGTATATCTACGTAATGTTTCGATTATGTGAAAGAAGAAAAAAATGTGTCCAATACTTTTGATAATCGCAGGTCATATCTGCTTTCAAAGTACCAATACTTAAAAGAATAATATTATACTGTACAGAATGATCTTATTAACAGTACTGAAATAAAACGAAGCCTGTCTTTAAAAGATTTTTAATCAACCGATTATGTTCAATAATAAATATATAAACAGTTCACATAATACGTCGTCATATTATAAAACTTAATCCTGACTCCATATAAATCTTTTGCTATGCGACATATTTGGCTCGTATTGAATCAAAAAAATTTACCTATGAATTCACAGGTGCGTATATTATTTATTGACGAAAAATTAAATTTTATTGCCCAAATATTTTGTACAAGTACATAGGTATACATTACATTTCGTTTGATCCACGACTTTTTAACCACCCTGTATATGTAATACAAAAATCAAAACACTTAAGGGATCCAAAGATTAGTTCATAGGTAAAAACTTAATGATTATATAAATTATACTACGATATAATATTACAGTATCACATATTATTCGTTATATCAGTAAATAACACAATATACTTAATTCGGGAACTTTTGGAATAACAAGAGCTGTCAAAACCTTTTACAAATGGAATTTCATTAAAGGACATGGCTAAAAAACTACCCTTAACGTGTATAACATTTTTTTAATAAAAGATGTTAATAACGGGACTGTTACCATGTACCTTGTTTTTAGCGAGTTTCCGATAGGCTTGTTGAAAATATATCGATGTGTCGATATTTTTTGTTCGATATATCGATATTTTTTGCCGATATATTTTGATTCGATATATCGATACATCGATACAAAATAACCAATATCGAAATTCGTATCAAAAACGATATTTTTTAATTATTAGCGGCATATCACGATCTAACTAAATTCGTATCTGGAAAAATCGTAACTGGATCTCAGATTAATGATATTCAACATATCTAGGATCTATGTTGTATTAGGTATTGTCTATTATTTGTAAATCTGTTTCGCTGGTCAATTGGTTGTGCTGATTTCCATTATATTCTGTGGAAGTGTGCGACTGTCTAGTCTTGTTTACGAAAGATGGCACATGAAAGGCCCTGCAATCATTTTCATCATTCGAAAATAGGGTCTATTTTTTGGGAGATAATTTTCGTTCGATATTGATATTTTTAAAAATATCGATATATCGATATTTTTTTCAACTTTCGACATCCCTAGTTTCCGATATTTCGGCACTGTTCAAGCGCCATGATCACTTACTCCGTGATTTCTCTCCCTCCGTACAATTACTGAAGTAATTGCGGGTAGGCTGTTATTGGCAGACATATCGGTCTACCCTTCGACGAAGTCATTGGGTGTATTCCGTAATATATGACACAATAGCGTTCTCATATTTTTTTACAAGCTTTTATTTAACTTGCTATGTATGTTTGTTACGGTCAAATCTTATAACTCAATTTTAAAGCACTTGCCCTCAACCGATTAAGCTGAAATTTGGTATGCTCGTTCAGTTCGGATGACAATGCATGATTAACAGTGTAACGTCATTCTAAATCCAATATGGCGGCATACCCAAAATGGCGGACCAATCATTTTTAATGCATTCCTACAATATGGGTATCAAATTAAAGGGCTTGCTGAGAGTAACTCGAAAAAAATGTGACGTCAATCTCAATCCAATATGGCGGACTTCTAAAATTTGAAAATCTATTTAGAAACAAACTTTAACTAAATTTTCTTTTTTTCTTTTTAGCGCATTTGAATCAAAGCTTGTTTTTAAAAATGTTTTTTTTACCTTAATTTTATTAGATTGGGATCTTAGCCAAAAGTTCCTGAGCCTTTTTTCATAGTTATTTTAAACATTCAGCCATTCAGCATTAAATATTACAAAGTACAATATTTATACATTGCTAGGGCAGTCGCTCATACAAAATTTTACCATGTCCTGTGATGTTACACGCTCTGTTTAAAAACAAACACTACAGTCCTTTAGATTTGAATAACTTATAAAAGAAAACTGATATCTTGTTACGATTAAACTCTTTAAGAGCTAGAGTGCGAAAGAAAAGTAATAGAAAATAGTCTAAACGGAAAGCACTTAATTTCTTTCTCTACTTTTTCGTTTGTTGTGAAATAAATAGGTACTTACGATACAAAGATAACAGACATTAATTTACATCTCTTAACTATTAGACAAGTCCGTCCGTCTGTGGTGCTGTTTCAGCGGCCAAACCGTAAGAGATAGATAAAGAGAATATTTAAGTTATAAGTTAAGAATAGTCTGATAAGACTACAAACCGGATTTGAGTAACGTAGCACTTCCGGTTTTCGAGAAATCAGGTTTTGGTGAACATTTGGTTCACTGGTTTGCTAGTTGACAACTAATTAACATCTTGAAATGTCTCAAAAGTTTGCAGTAATACTTATTGGGACAAAAAATAATAATGAATGTAAATATACATTTAGATTTTCTTCTGTATCTGAAATGATTTACGCTAACACGTTAAAATATACACAGTAATGGAAAATAACTATGAAAGTAATATCGAGATTTACAATTACAAGTCTGTTTCTCACTCAATTATTATATACGACAAAACAAATAAGTGAAAGGGTATAAAATAATAACAATAACATTAAATTAATTGTGAGGAATCAAGAAAACTGAACAGTAGTGTCTGATAAAAAAATATTAACTAATTTCAGACTTTCTGTAGGAAAAATGTTGACAGCATAACAAAAACAATCTATCTAACCAATGTCTAACATTATAACTGTTTAATATTTTCATAGAAAAACAGCCTCTATCACGCTAGCGTTAAAGGTTATTTCGCTATGACAAGGCCAGCAGACCCTGGTTCCTCTTTCATTGCGCGCCCTGCCTTCTGTTGTGATTGGCCCGCGAAGACTTGTGTTTTTCCTTACTCGTCCTGTTCTATTTTCATACCCTCTTTCAATAAAATGTAGACAGCAAAATTAAAATGAACTTTACAACCCATATTTCACTAAAATCATAGCTGTTTAATATTTTCATGGGAAAACAGCCTCTACGTCGAAAGCAATAAAAGTTATTTTGCTATGAAGGCAGCAGGCCCTGATTACTCTTCCATTGCACGCCCTGTCTTCTGTTATGGTTGGCCCGTGAAGGCTTGTTTTTCTTGTGGATGTGTTTTCTAATTTCAGACCCTATTTAAATAAAATGTTGACAGCTAATTATAAAGAAACTTTACAACCAGCGTCTTACTAAAATCATAACTGTTTAATATTGTCATAGGAAAAGAGCCTTTATGTCGTTAGCACTAAAGTTCATTTAACTATGAAGGCAGCAAGCCTTGGTTCCTCTTCCATTGCGCGCCCTGTCTCCTATTGTGATTGGCCCGCGAAGACTTGTGTTTTTCTTTGCGGTCCCGATTCACTAAAACATCTTTCTCTTGACCCTGGCCCTTAGGCTTGCCCGTAACGTCCACGTTTCTGTAAAATTTCATTAATTTTAAACGTAAAATTATTAAGAGATCGCTATAAAACCGCAATAACTTCACTCACAATAATGTAATGAAGTTCGGTTTAAAGAATTTTTATACTAGACTTGCAACGAATAGTATATTCGGCAGTATACCGAATATTCGGCGAGGCCCCTGACCGAATAGCCGAATATTTGGCAAAAGTATTCGGCTGGATTTTAGCGCCAAAAACTTGTACAGACGTGATTGTTTCGCGCTCCTTTGTTTTGTTCTAATCTGCCGTCCTCAAGCTAAAATGCGGCTGAATGACAAAACCAACTTTTGAGATATGGCCAAAAACGGCGCGTAAATATTAAATTATTGCTATTATGTAACCATTCATCACATGACTGAATGAATTAAAAACTGTTAACTTGTCTAATACAGAAAATTTTTAAATTATGTACCTGTTTTATGTACCAATGACTACTTAATAAATGATTACAAAAGAAATAAGAACCGTACCCTTCTAAATTTTGATTACCACAATAATTCAAATACATAGAATCCTCCATTTTTCCAATTCAGAAGATGATTTTATGTACCTGTGTTATGTACCAATGACTACTTAAATGATTATATAACAGAAATGAAAATATGAATATAAACGTAATCAATCGATTATAATTTTTCATTTTACCAATTATTTCTCTATGACAAAATATATCATTTAAGTATTCGGTATTCGGCCGAATAATATGTAGATATTCGGTATTCGGCCGAATATAATAAAAGCAGCCGAATAGGCCGAATACCGAATAGTAACCGAATATTCGTTGCAAGTCTAGTTTAAACGTCGCTCTGCCATGCCATAAATCGAAATAAAGTCAAAAATATAGAAAAGTCACTGCAGTCTGGGTGTCAATGCGAAATTGATACTTTATGAAGTGAAACTTTTTTCGGACGGGGTGTAAATGGAAAAATCCTATGGAAAAGAGGAAACGGAAGTGCGTCACGAGCGTCACACGGCTAAATATATATGTGTGTGTAGGGGGGATGCGTGCGCAGCTCTTCCCGACGAGCATGAAAGTTGGAGGATAACTCGGCGAAGACTGAAACGCTACAAGCGTCACACGCGACAATTTAAATATAAACATACATATATATGAGTGATGCGTGCGCTGCTCCTAGGCCTACGCCTTATGCACCGTCTAATGTTAGGTTATTTAAGATAAGAAATTTCACTTCAGATTAGTGATATAACGAATGTTGGATTTTTCACATTCGCGAATGCGAATGCGATTGATCTTCAACATTCGCAAATGCGAATGCGAATGAGAATATTTTAAAATTTCAAAAAAAGCGCGCGTAAAATAAACATTTTAAAAACCTGTCAAACGACAGGTTTGACGTTTCGTGTCGGCCATGTTTAAATTGAACATAGCCGAGGCGATATTGGTTAATTGAATGAATTTAGTCACAGAAAGAAAGTTCATTGTAAAGGTTTTGTTTTGTTTTGAGGTTAGTTTTAGGTTATTTATCAAATTTAACTGATATTTATACATTTAAACCCAAAGGTTATAAATACTTAATACGTTAGATATTTAAAGTTTAATAATTTTGTTTCAAGTAATTGTTTAGTTTTATAGTAAATAGAAACTGTAAACTTTATTTAAAAATGGTAGTAAAGTAATAATATACTACTAAATAAATGCAAACTTTACATTGTAACAAGGCTGATTAATGTTAGATTTGATCAGATCTCTGAAGTTCTTTTTTCATAAATGAGACTTTAATTTAGAATGTATATAATGTAGAAGTATGATTTAATAAAAATATGTAAGTGTTATCTATTGTATTATTATTTCATATGCATGCAATGCATATAATAATTTCCTTTTTGATTATTAAAAACATTCGCTAAATATTAGCATAATTTTAGCGAATGCGAATATTGAAAAATATGCGGATATTCGCGAATGCGAATATCCGTTACAGCACTACTTCAGATGTGTTGTCTGTGCGCACATTTTTTTTATGTATGTTGACGCGGTCGTTTACCGCGTTTGGTTTGCACGGAATGAAAAGGCGAGAGTAATATTTAACTTAGTTTTAAGTTTAGAGAATCACGCCAGAAACAAAACCAATTTTTGTATAAAATATAGTTCAAGAAAATTACAAAAAGAAATATGGCGTGACAAAGTTTGCCAGGTCAGCTAGTTTATAAATGTGAGTTCATGAATACCTCCCGGAAAACTTCTTGAGCAACAACCATAGACAAGGAAGCCTGCGCAGTGGCATTTTTACATACAAAATATTATATAGGTTGTAAAAAATCCTTTAACGAAGTCTAAGGCCACGCATTTTCCACATCATGACGATAATTTTTTTCTTCTGGACTATGCCTGGGAAATTTATGGTTATGGAGATATTGAAGGTCACAGTCACATTTTTTTTTCATTATTTATACATTAATATATTCAAAACGTTATTTAGAAACATTTTTATCAACGCACTTACGCATACACACAGGCACATTCTTTGCGTAGCGTCACAGTAGCGCGCCGCGCTATACATTGCGTACTGGACAAAAAAAAGTATTTTTTCACCTTATAAATACAAATGATTCCTACGTATAATATTTTGTAATATTACTTGTTTGGGTGTACATAATGCGTAGTTTTAGTCTTTGTCATAGGTCTTTTACACCCTGTATAACGTCTACTGCACAAGTTTTTTTGTCTGTGATTGTGCTCAGAAAGTTCACTGCTACGCTACTGCCTAGTTCTAGTTCTTCAGGGCGGTTTCCGCACTTAGTCTTAACTATTGGACCATTGTGCGTGTCTCAAAATATTCCCGCTTACTCCAGCCAGCCTATATCGGTCCAGAAGGAAAGCAGCCTTGGTAGACTGCTGCAAGCTTCCGGAAATGATTCTGGTGACTGGAGAAGTCGTGCCCGTTGGTCGGCCACACTCCTGCATTCCATGATGACATGCTGTGGCGTTTCTTCTGCCTCCATGCATCGTCGGCATAGGGGGCTTTCTGTAACTCCTATTGTATATAGGTGTTTGCTGCGAAGTTTGTCCCTATTTAGTCTGGTAAGGGTGCGGGCAAAACTTTTAACGCTACTGCCTATACCTGCGTGAGTTATTGGGAGTCGGTCTGTTCTGTTCCCTGCGCGCGCGCAACAGTTCGGGGTTGACGCAGAACTCCAGTTTACTGCCGCCTCCAGCTGTCTGCTGTTCCTGTTCTGCCGCCTCTGACTCGTCTTCAGACTCCTCCTGTGAATATAATAGATGGGCTTAATATTTATTTCTTAGGTTTTCATGCACATCACTCATTAAATAAAACTACTTTTAATTTATTGACGTTTCACAGCCTTTTCAGTTTGCATCGTCATTGTTCTGACGTTTCGCAGCCTTTTCAGGTCTGCGAAACGTCAATAAATAAATAAAGTTCGTGCATTAACCCGTTAAAACTAGTTTTATTTTAGATGGGCTTAATGTAATAGACTAAGTAGTTTTTCCACTTAGTGTTAGTGAGTTTTTTTCGGCTGCAATCGCTGAAATTAAGCAACTTTCTCAATGGTCGGTCATTGGATGGGTGACCAAAAATTTACGTAAAGAAGGAAGGCCGTTGGTCCCGGTTGCATCTGCAGTCGTTAGCACCCAATAAGCCGCTCTGGGCCCGCGTGGTGGGTTATGGCCAAATCTCCCTATTCCATCCATAGGGAGGCCTGGCCCCAGCAATGGGGACATTAATAGGCTGATGATAATGAAGTAGTTTTACTTTGCTAAATTGGTTGAAAATTGTTCATTCGGCACTTCTTATTTATTGTTCATTAATAATATTATTGTGATGAAAGTTGACATCAACACATGTTATCAGGTTTTGATGTCTTTCGCTGTACAAGCTGTTCAGCTTTGGAACTCGTTGCCTACTAATATCAGACGCGCTCAATCCTTGAAAATATTCAAAGACCAGCTCAAAATTTCTGTCTTTCGTAGTGAATCTCGAAAAGAAGAAATCGCTTTTAGCGACAACACCGCCAATTAAAACGCTTTTGCTAAGTTTATATTGTTTGTGAATGTTATGTAATTGTGTATTTGGTGTTATAATAAAGTGTTAATCAATCAATCAATCAAAATACTGTACATAAAACAGTATATTTATATAGAAAATACATATTATACATCCATGACTGGGGTACAAATTCTCGTATTCATTATAGAAACATCTGACCTACTGGGATTCGAACCCGGGACCTCTCGAATGGACGACACCATGAAACTTTCAAACTTTTCTTCTTTCAAATGTTTAATACTTGTAAAGGTATTAATTTGAAATTGTGGGTTACCCACAATGCGAAGAGATGGCGCTGCCTTGCAGCTTAAGAATGGCTAGAGGGATTTCGACGCGGCCATCAGAGCCGCGGTAGCATAATTGGTTAGTGCTATTGCCCGGATAGCGAAGGGTGCGGGTTCGAGTCCCGTCTGCTGCCTGGTCCGCGTGGAACTTTTTCTAGATATATTTTCTTTAGATTTCGAGTCGGGCGAAATCTAAATACAATGTTTCAACTAAAAGGTTGTATCCGATTTGTGGCGCCACATTCCTTGTCAAAATCTATACACATAATAAAATGGTATCAAAGTCAAAACTGTACCTTGACTATTTTTTTTAAAGAATACTTGGGGTGTGATTTATAATCAATACCGAAGCCAAAAACATAGTTTTTAGAATTTGTCTGTTTTTCTGTATGTATGTCTGGGATAAACTCAAAAAGTACTGCATGGATTTACTACAAATTTGGCACGAATATTATTAAGAAGTCGGGTCAACATATAGGCTACTTATTATCACGCTATCACCTACGGGAACGAGCAGTGAATCTTTATTTCTAACTAACTCCACGCGTAGAAGTCGCGGTCGGCCGATAGTGTTATATTGACTTGGATTAGTCGGCAGTGTATCCTTGTAATTCTCAATACAGAGTGCAAGTGAGGGACTGGTGTTGGATCTGTTTTTGGGTCTGGAGAATGATGTCAGAATGGATATGAATATGTACCTAATATTTAGTTTTATAGTTTTGAAGTGTTTGTACTAGATTCTCTTATTTTTGTATATCGTAAGTCTACTTCGTAAGTAAATTTTTTACGCATGCAGTGGCAGCCTTTAAGTAAGGCAGCACTAAGAATTGTTTTCTTTATTGCTTTCTCAGTTTGTATTTTTATTTGGTGTTTGTTTTGTTGGCTGTCCTTAATAAATAAATAATATAAAAATAAAAAAAAAAAATGGTTGCCTGTAAAGTCGGTTTTACGGGCGAAGATTTTACGTGACAACGTCTTTTTCTCGGTAGAATATTTATTGATATGAATATAATTAAATTGCACAATAGGAACAAGGAATTGAATGAAAATAAGAATTGCACAAATTTTAACTATAGAAATATATTTTGTTTACTAAAACATTGTACATGTAAACTTAAACTTAACACGAGAGACTCATCGTAACGTTACCGAGCGTTACACTTTTTCATAAGTGACTCCCAGCCGCAACCTAATTTAAGACGTTGTCACGTCCATAAAAAAAATATACAGTGGGTTCGACTCACGTGCTGCCTCCCTCGGCCAGTCTGCAGTACTCTAGGAGTGACCAGAGGCCGGCCCACCTCGTGTTGTTGGTCGGCGACGGGCGCGACCCCGTCCGAGTCGTAAGTGTCGTCGTACTCGTCCGAGTACATCGCTTCTTCGTCGCACACCAGGCTGTCACATACATATACTTATATCATTGATATTACCAACACTCATGCTATAGTCTATTCACATTGGCGCAGACAAAATGTAAACAAACCTTAAAAAGGATACTTTTTAAGGACACGTTTGACAAACATAAAGATTAAATACTATTTACATTGGAAATGCAGCGAAACATTAAGGTAATTATTTTGAAAGCTGGTACATACATATGAACAGGATAATAAAATATTTTACACATATTTAACGTACATACACATCATAAATTCGTTTATTTTTATTTTGCTGATAAAAGTATTTTAATAAATTAAGTTGACATGGAAAAAGATCTAAAAACACGATCATTCGCAAACTTAAGACGTATGATAATACGACAAATTTTTAGAGTAGACATGATATAAGTACCAAAAAGTGACCAAAATTTTACTATCTCCAGCTCCTCCGTACTTTTGAAAGCACGTTAAGCCGTTGATTTCGGCTGCATATGCAGTCGTTAGCACCCGCCAATCCGCACTGGGGATGGCCCAATCTCCCTATTCCATCCATAAGGAAGGCCTGTGCTCCAGCAGTTGGAACATTAAGGAATTAAAAGGCTGGTGATGTGATGTGAGGTTACATCAGGTGGGATGGAATCATTTGTCGTTCGGTGGCGACATCTACATGCCCCACATATAACCAACATAGAGAAATTAATCACTCGCCTCTTCAAGAGATGGCGCTACCGACGCTGCACTTAAATAGTATGGAAGCCTACATCGCACAAGTGAAATTCAGCGGCCAACAGTTCATATACACAATAGCCGACCAACATCAGGAGGAGCTCGATGGCGCAGGTGGTTAGCGCATTCGGCTGCGATCGTTGAAGTTAAGCAACTTTCGCAGTGGTCGGTTATTGGATGGGTGACCAAAAATCTTCTGTCTCGAGTTCCTCCGTGCTTCGGAAGGCACGTTAAGCTGCTGGTCCCGGCTGCATCTGCAGTCGTTAGCACCCGCCAATCTGCACAGGGCCCGCGTGGTGGGTCATGGCCCAATCTCCCTATTCCATCCATAGGAAAGGCCTGTGCCCCAGCAGTGTGGACATTAATAGGCTGATGATGAATGAATGATGACCAACATCAGTCAGACCGCGGCCCCCGAGCTACCATCATCAGCTCGGAGGAAGAACTTCCCCTTTGGCCTTCCTACAGTCAGATCTATCTATAAAAAAAAAAAGAAAAATGTGTATCGACTCACTTATACTTGCTGTAAATATCGGCTAGTTTTTTCACAGCTGTCTTATCATCCAGCATATCCTTTAGGTCCTTATACTGTGTCCGTCTCTTTCCCACGTGCACTCGGGACAGGTCCACGTCATCGCGAGTCATTATATCGAACTCGTCGCCGTCGAATACATTCAGCCTTTGGATGCCCGTTTCTAAGTACTTCTTATCGACGGGGTCTTCAGGAATTATGGGCATATTTTGATCTAGACCTTATTGGAATAATAATAAACATTATTGTTTTAAACTTTAATAATCACTTCACAATATTAAATACCCTAGATACACCAACACGAACAAAATCGTGGCCGAAACCTGTCCAAAAGGCACTTTGGACGATCCACGGAGCTCCGTAAGATGATCGCGTAGTCAAAAACAATATAAGGGATTTTTTGAACATTGAAAGTCACCTTTAATGCATACTGTATAAGGTCTTAATTAAAACGCAAGACGCAAAAACAAAGTACATGATTGCAATCTCAATAATTACTTTAACAATAAGAGGAGCTCGATGGCGCAGATGGTGAGCGCGTTCGGCTGCGATCGTTGAAGTTAAGCAACTTTCGAAGTGGTCACTCATTGGATGGGTGACCAAAAATTTACTATCTCGAGCTCCTCCGTGCTTCGGATGGCACGTTAAGCGGCATCTGCAGTCGTCAGCACCCACCAATCCGCACTAGGTCCGCGTCATAACCCATTCTCCCTATTCCATCTATAGGGAAGGCCTGGGCCCCAGCAGTGGGGACATTAATAGGCTGATAATGATTATTAATTATGTAAAGGATACATTTGCGGGTAGGCCTGTTTGAGCGCGTCAATACGTCAATATCGTCTTGAATCTAGTTTCGTGCTCGGAAGGCACATCTGCAGTCGTTAGCACCCGCCAATCCGCACTGGGCCCGCGTGGTGGGTCATGGCCCAATCCCTATTCAATTCATAGGGACGGCCTGTGCCCCAGCAGTGGGGACATTAATAGGCTGATGATGATGATAATTATAGTTTATAAAGGATATATTTACGGGTAGGCCCAATTCCAGTGGTAAATCCGCTATGCCCTATCTCTCTTACAATAAGGAAGAAATAAGTAGGAAAACCTGTGCCCCAGCAGCGGCAACATTAATAAGCTGATGATGATGATGATAACAATGAACATAGTCTATAAGAAAATTTAACACATCTTACCTTTCAATGGCTCAGCTAAATTATCTTCTAAAATACTATTTATAACTCTGGCAGCATTGAACCCATAGTGTTGCAAGCATTTCAAAATGTACCCATCCCCCAAGTGTGGCAATATGTCCTTTACTTCACTTATCAGAGATTCCTCCCTTACACTGTCCGGTATTTCGTTCTCTCTAGACGTTCCTGGGCCATCTGCAACTCCGTTCTCTATGGTCTCAACATGACCGTTGGTGATTGGCTCACTATTATAATTCATCATTCCATTTTCCGGGGCATTTTCGTCAAGATTGCAATAAATAGCTTGCAAAATGAAATCCGTTTTAACTGGATCACTGTACATTACATTAAGTGTTCAGGAAGAATATTTAAACATAATCTAATATTATTAAAAATATATTCATAAGAACAGCTTTGTTTTGACTTACAGATTAAATAAATGAAAAATATTGGTTCGTGCTAGGGGTACAGGTAATTTTATATCAGATGTGTTTGCACTTCCCTATGGCATACATTTTATTAATTTCATGTTCAAATTCCGATAACATGATCCACAATGTTTAATCTAATTAGTATATACTTATATTATGTTAGTACTAACTTTCAAAAAGTGATTTTGTCGTCTGGATAAATTTCCACATCATATTTAACGGCAATAACGCTCAAATATCTTATTATCTCTTCGGTGTCATCGTCTAACTGTGGCCACAATTCCAACGCGTACAAAGAAATTTGGTGACTCATTTCTTTGTCGCACTATCCGTAAATGGAATGCTCTGCCCTCTCACGTGTTCCCTCCTTCTTAAAACCTGGGATCCTTTAAAAGAGGCGTGAAGAAGCAACATGCAGGCCGGCAAGGTGAGGATGGCTGGTGTGGCAGGTAGAACTGCTTTATCAGTCAGCTATCTTCACATCTGGACTTCACCATCACTTAACATCAGGTGGGGTGGAGTCATTTGTCGGACCTATCTATAAAAAAATATATATATAATTATATTATTGAGGAGCTCGATGGCGCAAGTGGTAAGCGCGTTCGGCTGCGATCATTGAAGTTAAGCAACAATCGCAGTGGTCGGTCATTGGACGGGTTACCAAATATTTACTATCTCGAGCTCCTCCGTGCTTCGGAAGGCACGTTAAGCCCGGCTGCATCTGCAGTCGTCAGCACCCGGAAATCCGCACTGAGTCCGCATGGTGGGTCATGGCCCCTTCTCCCTATTCCATCCATAGGGAAGGCCTGTGCCCCAGCAGTGGGGATATTAATAGGCTGATGATGATGATTATATTATGTAAAGGATACATTTGCGGGTAGGCCTGTTTGAGCGCGTCAATATCGTCTTGAAGCGGGTAACAAGCGTGGTAGTCTCGCATCAACAATCGCTCGGACAGACCGTCCATTATAAGCGACAGATATAGTTCCACGTGGGTAGACACGTTACCTCTGCGACATACAACAAACATACAATACCAACAGAAGAATAGGCTATTTGACGAATACGTATATGCTAACGATTTTATTATTCAGAGAGAACTAAAAACTTTTCTAAACAATCATCTATACTTATAATAAATCTGTAGAGAGGTCAATTCTGTACATGAAATATATTTTCAAAATAACTATCAGGGGGTGATTAGTGGTCGATACTGATGCCAAAAATGCAATCAGTAAAATTTTTGTCTGTCTGTCTGTCTGTGTGTATGTTCCTTATAGAAACAAAAACTACTCAACGGATTTTAACGAAACTTGGTACAATTTATAGTATACTTTTCATCACTCTACAATCAATAGCAGCAGAGTAATGAAGGGAAATGTTGGGAAAACGGGAGAAGTTACTCCATTTTTTAAGCTTCCGTCGCGTGTGCAGCCTTAATGGTTAAAGTTACATAGAAATCATGTATGACGGAAATATTCTACATAAAATTGTCTAAAAAATATCCCGCAACAGCATATGTCTATCTTTTATGGTTGACTCACAATAACACGTGTAATTATATAAATAAAGTCATTGTTTATAGCACAAGCCTGAGAACAAAAACCATAGTTTACACTACAGCTCTACACCGAAGCGAAGCGAGGGCGGGCCACTAGTTAAATATAAATGTTTATCTTGTTCTATGATCACGTGAGGTGATGTGTAGATTAGATAAAACATTTACAGGTTAATAATAAATAAATTATATTACTCACTGGCCACTAAAAATAGCGTTCTTGTGTACGGCTAAAGCCTCCCCGAATATGTCGATAAGTTCCGCGCGGGCCGAGTCTATAAATACCTCGACTTCCACACTCGTCAAGCTGATGGGGTCAGCCATAGGTTAGGTAGAACATTTACAGGCTAATAATAAATTAATTATATTACTCACTGGCCACTAAAAATAGCGTTCTTGTGTACGGCCAAAGCCTCCCTGAATATGTCGATTAGTTCCGCGCGGGCCGAGTCTATAAACGCCTCGACTTCCACACTCGTCACGCTTGTGGGGTCACCGACCTCTTGGAGCTTCTCGTATAGGAGGGGAACGCCGTATTCGTACAGTTGTACTATACTGAAAATAGTTATAGGTCAAAATATATGGTGCTATTTAATTGCTGTAGTATTTTAAACTAAATTATTGTCTCGACTTGCTAATGTTGTCCTAATTAATGTATTTTTACGAATATAATAATTGTGAGGTGGTTGCACAATACCAGCGACAAGTCAAAACTTGACTGTCACATGCCGAGCCACATTCTTTTTTGTTTAAATTAAAATTTACTGTCATTCTATTTGTGTATTGTACCAATTGTCTGTTGAAACAAATAAATAATTTATTACTATTATTATTAAGTGGATTCTTTGCACACTCTTTTTTCTCATTTCTCAGTAAGAAATCTACTTTTAATAGTAGTTTCAAAACGAGATTTAATTTATGAACGTTTCTTAAAACATAGACATTTATTAAAACTCAGCTGAGTAATTTGTTATTACAGAAGGTCATTTACGTCAAAATCTACGCTCAAGCAAAGATTTGATCTTTGTTTACTTAAGTATGGTCGACTCCATACTTAAAATGAGAATATGTATTATAGCCCCAAAAAATTTGTAACGCGAGTTTTCTAGTCTAAGATCCGAGCCTACATCGACCTTCACCGAGCTGATTATAGGATGAAACATATTTTATCATGAATTTAGTATATTAGAAAATATATTAAAAATGGGTTGCCTAAAAAATCCTTGACAGACTATTATTTAATTAATTTAAAAAAATATATTTTCAATTAAATGATGCAACATCAAGATAATAAGAAAATGTTGTCCTGACTTACATTATAAAATATATAAAATGTGCAACCATTGGGGTTTCTATTATTTACCTGGGCGAACTACTGCGATGCCAGGTATAACCAGGTATGCCGATGCCAGTTACATTACCCAAGGGCTGCACATTCTACACGCTTTATACTTTAAGTCAGAACATCTTCTTGATGTTGCAACATTTAATAGGGTATTTGACAAGTTTTAGAAAACGATCTCACTTATTGACTAATGTTTATGGAGTATTGGATATTAATGATTCTGTTGTGTATTTCAGTAAAAATAACCAAATCAAAAACTCCATTTTCAAGTTGCCGCGAAAACTTTTCTCTGGACAAAATGGCGTCTTACTAGTGCGTGACGTCACACGACTATTATTAAAACGTCAAACGATACAATGTAATGTCACTTTAACCGGAAGTTTACTTGCGTGTGACGTCATGTTAGGCTCCGCCAATCCCAAGCGTTTTGGGTCACGTGACAATAGATAAAAAAACTATTATGTTTTTCGTTAGTTTTTAGTAAAATTATGAATATTTTTTTGTAACAATAGTAAAAACCCATGCCAATTTTCATTCTAAACACAGATGCTAACTATTGGCACTTTATTTTTAACACAGTCAAATACCCTATTGATTTTTTTTTAATTAATTAAAAATAGTCTATTCAGGATTTTTTTACTCAAAAAGTCACTTTCCATGGCTTATTAGCCATATATAGCCAAGTATTTGAGCACATAATCATGATGTTACCGGAAATCCGGCGGCTAGGTGGCCGCCCTGTGGCTCATTTGCATTATGTCTTCAAAAAGGTAAATTTTCCAGAAAAACCTCATTGTTAGACTTTGACAATAGAGTTGATAAAAGATATCGAACTCATACCCTCTTTTTAAACAGGATTGAAAATTTTATTATATTGGAACATTTCATAAATGACTATCTAGATAGTAGATCTATCTATTTAGTTTAGGATTATTGCAATACCCTAACTGGATTCTTGTTTGGTATGATATATATATTTTTTGTAACAGTGTGTAAACAGCAAGAATGCAATAAATGAATATGAATATTAATTAACGAAGACAACTCTTGGATTAGTTACTCCATGTTTTATCTCTGACTATTGAATGACAAATGGCATTTGAGTGACATGAACAAAACACGCCGTACTTGTCCAAGCTTATTCCTTGTTTATTAATAAGGGGGCTTGAGCGAAGAAAATGGAATAAAATAAAAAATAAGAATATTTGTTTCTTAGGTTTTCACGCACATCACTCATTAAATAAAACTAGTTTTAACTGGTTAATGCACGAACTTTATTTATTTATTGACGTTTCGCAGCCTTTTCAGGTCTGCATTGTCAGAATAATGATTTTTTATTTTCTTTTCGAGCTACCTTCGAAAAACTTTTACTGAGCGTGCGGATATTTCATTGGAAGATTTTTAAAATTTTATTGTCTATGTATGAATTTATTAGTTAATTTAGTTAATAAAGTACTTAATTTAAAATTCTTTTTTGCAATTTTGAGTTTATTTATTTGACCCTAACTACCGTTAACTACCACCGGTTCCAAAATTGGGAGACTTTTCTGAGAAGAACCGGCGAAACAAACTCAGAGAGGCTTTCTATCTCCTTCTTATGTTAAATCATGCAGACGCAGAAAAGTTTATGGTTAAAATAAAGTTCGTGCTTTAACCCGTTAAAACCAGTTTTATTTAAAAAGTAAGAAATTATAATAAATATTCAACAGTAACCTAATACTAATACAGAGCAATGTTTTTTATATAGATAAGTCCGACAAATGACTCCACCCCACCTTATGTGAAGTGACAGTGAAGTCCAGACGCGAAGATAGCTGGTACAGCAGTTCTACCTGTCACACCAGCCATCCTCACCTTGCCGGCCTGCAAGTTGCTTCTTCACGCCTCTTTTAAAGGAACCCAGGGTGTAAGATGGAGGGAACACGTGAACGGACAAGTTTGATTCAGCAGAGCAAATTCTTGATTATTTTAAAACTGATTCTCACCAATTAATAAAGTTAGTCTTCTTAAATATCTTAACGCTATCCGGGTACACTTCCACAAATACCCTGAGCGTCATGGCGGTGTCCAGCATATGGATGACCAGATCCTTCAGACAGTTGAAGGTGAGTTTCTCCGGGCCCTTGGTGTTTGGCGGCCGACGGATCTCACTGAAACCCTTGAACGTTTCTGGAAGATTCGGTGGTTCTTCACTGTCGTAGTCTTGGTTCACTTGTACGATTATATACTTAAACGCCTGGAAAGCAAAATCATTATATGATATACTTTAGTGAATTTTTGTAAAATAAAATTTAAATTGTGGAATCTGCTAATACTGTGTTATCTATAATGCGAAAAGATGGCGCTGCCTTGCAGCTTAAGGCTAGAAAGAATTGGACACGGCCATCAGGGCTAAATATTTCCAACACTTACCGGTATGGCTTGTGTTGTGGGTTATTTACAAGTATTAAACATTTTAGTTGGTCAGTGCAATCACCCGGATAGCGAAAGGTGCTGGTTCGAGTCCCGTCTGTATCTGTATCTTTCTAGTGATATTTATTTGGATTTAAACATTGAGCAGTTACATGCTTAAAAAAATAAAATTATATCTAAAACATCAGTCAAAACAGCCCCTTGTACCAACCTCTTTAACAAACGTGATGGCTGCAGCCGCATCCGTCTCATACTTCGGTTGTATAGTGAATATACTTTCAAGTAACCGTGCCACATGCCTGTTGTTATCCACACCGTACACCAAACAGATGTCCCATATTATAGGGATAGTGAAGATGAAATTGTCATATATAAGATTCGCCATAAATTCTTTGCTCATCCATTCCGACTGCAAATTAATACAACCCCAAGTTATTTGTGATTAAGGTTCAAATTGTAAATCAAAGGTATGCTGCAAATAGCTGATATAATGGTGATGATAATGTGACTTTTTTCCTTTGTCTATCAGGTAGATTATCAAAAAGTATTGTTTCTTTTTTCACATAATTAAAATATTAGAGAGATATTGACTTGAAATGTCACATGACGTCATGTCATGGTAATTTTTTATTTGGAGTGACGTCAGGAGCCCCTACGCCCAAACTTTGACACGCTTTAATCTTTGTATTTTTTTTTGTTATTTGGCAAAGAAAAAGAAAGTAACCATTATTTTTTTGATATCCTAACTGGCAGATAAATATTGTTTGCCCAGCCATCATCCCTATTTAGCTCCCTACAGCTCCTTAAAATATTATTTTTCATTTCAATAAAAAAGAATTTCGTAGATCCTTTTAAAAACTTTTGAATTATGAATCAATATTAAAATTTTAGGATTTGTATAGATTACCTTACTTTCTTTATTAGTAACCAATCTGCTAAATACAATGAGAACAAGCCTTCTTATTTCCGCATAAATTTTCTGCACTTCTCTGGTCTCATGTGGTGGTATGTATGGAGGGTTTGCCTCCTGCAGGAATGCCACTAAGGCATCCATACATTGTGAATGATACAGAATGGTACTCCAAAACCTGCAATGATGAACTTATTAATTTGGTTCACAAAATAGTTGTCAAACTCTACTTTAAATATATAGTGCTAAGGTGTATGTAAATAAATGAGTCTTAATATTCACTTGGGAGGAGCCCAATGGCGCAAGTTGTTAGCGCATTCGGCTGCGATTGTTGAACTTAAGCAACTTTCGCAGTGGGTGGGTGACCAAAAATTTACTATCTTGAGCTCCTCCGTGCTTCGGAAGGCACGAAGACTTCTAGCCGTTGGTCCCGGGTGCATCTACAGCCATTAGCATCCAACAATCCGCACTGGGCCCGCGTGGTGGGTCATGGCCCAATCTCCCTATTCCATCCATAATTCAACACTGTTGCAAAGCCATGATCACGGCAAAATGTTCAGTTACACCGTAGCCATGGCGCTTGCAACAGTGCCGAAATATCGGAGTCTCATAAAAAGCAAGGTATATGGTAACAAATCCCGTTAATAGTTCTAATGTCCGTGACCAAGAAAGTTTAAAACAATATATTGCTGTTATTTTTTTTTGTTATGTAGATATTTTATGTTATAATATGCAAAAATATAACTTTAAGACAAAGCTGATAATATTTGATAATATTCTGACTGATGCACATAGAATTGTCTGACTACCCTTTTGGAAAAGTTACTTAGATAAATTGTTTATTTCCATCAAAGGAAGCACATATCGACCCTTCCAGGATGAAACGTCGTAAAAGCCATTTTACCCAAAATCTGTTTTTAACGGTTTCTTTATCAGAATCGCGAGCTCTATCGATCTGTATATTTAAAATGTTCAAATTCGCGAAAAAATGTCTTTTACAACACGCTCCAATTAATGCCCTAAACCCATTTTTCTTCTTGTAAAATGTCATAATGAGCAATTTTGGAAATACTTTTTTCAAATTTATGTAGTAAGAGACATATTTTCTCATTCCACAGTCAATACAACATATATAATACAGTACTGGAAAATAATACTATTGGAAATTTTGTAGTAAAAGACACGATACTACTAACAATTTTGATGTAGACATACTAGGGACTTCGGAAAAGGCTTCGATTAATCACAGTTTTTTTATTACAAGTAGTGAAAAAATAAAGGATGTAAGTGGATGTGATGGTAGAAGAAACCAATATTCTATGTAAACGAAGTTATGGACGTTACTTAGACGTAAGTACGGCTTGTTGGCTTTAGTTGTGGGCCCCAAAATTCTTGTTTTCAATAGCAGGGTCGTGTTGAATTGTTTACCTAGGACAGTAGGTTCTCTATCTCGCTGCCTAGCATGGTCGAGGCTATGCACAGTAGTGAGACGGCTTGGAAAGAGTCGCCTCTCTCTGTGACGACGTCATCACAAAGTAGGAGGAGGCCGAGAGGGGGACAGGAGGACAATCCTCTGGCCGTCCCCTGCCACCGCAAAAGAACAGGCACGGGAAGGCGAAGGTGTGCCCTGGCTGCGCACGTGTAGTGATAGTGACCCTATCTAATTGAATCACTTGCTGCCCGGCATGGCGTTAGCCGTGCCAGCCACCGATGGATTCCGTGGCGTCAGCTATCTTTTGTACCTAACCTACATGAGAGGGCCGCGGAAGGGCCTGCGAGGGGAACTGCGCAGTCCTTCCACAGCAGACGGGGAGCGGTGTGGTGGGCAATAGGCCGCGCACTTAGTTGCATTTACTTCACTAAATTAAACTTTATTCTTATTACAATTGTCTTTTAATTCAAAAATCCCTTTAATGAAACAATTTATGAAGTCTGATACAACTTCAAGGAAAAAAGATTACATTTGCCAAGCAGAAATAAAATGTCGTAGAAACCATTTACAACTTGTTTTTTTGTAGTAAAAGCCATGCCATCTCCGGAACTAATGAATGTAGGCTATTCCGAGTTTCTTATTAGTAAGCAACCCGAAAACCTAAGCTTAATGAGTTATAGTGGTTTATTATAAACTAAGCAAATCAAAAAATATACGGGAAACAAACTTCACCGTTTTTGTTTTTTGGCCGTATTGAAAAATATCGTTTTGGCTTATACTACGTTTCATCCTGGAAGGGTCGATATGACAACATAGAACAACAGAAAGAGGCAAAATATTCTACCTATGCTCTGAGAGCAAAACACTGATATTCAGTGTTGCCGAGAAATTAACAATAACCAAAAAATAAATGACTCACTTATGATGTTGTAAACTAAGAAGCCATTTGATGTCAGCAAGGTAAGCTTCTGCTTTAACCTTCCATGCCTCAACGGCTCCTAGAACTACGGTACTCCCCGAAGGAGGTCTTTCATATATTGTCAACTGCCTCTTTTCAACCCAGTATGGATCCTGAAATATAATATGAACAATGAATGTAATATTTACATGTAATGATTTTACTAAATCAAAAGAAACCATTTATTTATTTATAAAGACAGCCTGAAAAGCTACATTAAAATTGTACAGCATTGATACAGCCACATCATCATGGGAGAGTGCAAATGGATAAGATATAACTATCAGTTATTGCAAAAATAATGTACACAGTGACCAGTGTTGCCAGACGTCCCAATTTTGGAGGGACATCCCAATTTTTAAATCAAAATTGTCTTGCGTGGAAAGGCTCAATCCCGCTTTTCGGGAATAACTAAGGTATAGTAACTAATATATAAAGGTAGAAAATAAACCTCCAGGGCAAAGTTATAGTAATGTATAGATGCCGTATCAGGAAAAATATTGAGTTTTCATTTTATCTGCTAGAATGACCATTGGGTTTCAATGACTAGAAGATTGTTGAAATTAAATGATTATTATTATTAATTATTGTTCAACCAATCTATTTATTTATTTATTTTATTTAACTTAATAATTTTATTTATTCATTTTATTTAACTATTTTAAATTGGCTTGTCCAGCTTTTGTTAGGCTTTTGATATTTGGGAAATGAGTAAGCACTGTGTGTGGCTCACGCAAGCGAGTTGAGTGTCAGTCAATATTACATAAAGTTTTTTGTGGTACCTAATACCAAGTTAGTTGAAAAAAGCTGTGGGTCTATACCAGGGGTGCTCAAACGGTCAATCGCAATCAACCAGTCGAGTGCGATCAACCTACAATAACCTATATATGCTATGGTACAGCCTCCCTAGGTAGGTAGGTAGGTGGCGTGTATCGTGTTTGTATGGCAACCCACACATACTTGCAGCCTCTCAGAGTCGATAGTAAGTAGTCTAAAAATTTTGAGGTAGATCGCTAGCAGTTAAGTTTGAGTACCCTTGGTCTATACCATCATAATTATTTAATGTATTTAAAGGATGCGATGCACAGATTCAATTGTAGTAACAGCTAGTTTAAATAATCAATCCAACTAAATGGTAAAGCTTATTCTGGTTATGGTATTTTGAACTAATTAACCAAAAAATATAGGCATTTCTAATGGGCCTTTAAGGTGTAAACATATTTATTTATATTTAATCCTTGTATGATTTTCAACGAACACATTTTCATAACATTATGAAAGAATTTAAAGTTGAAATTTTTTTACATTTCTACTATAAGCGGTACATTATAAAAAAATATAATTTAATTTAAGGGCAAAGTATATACTTTTTATAAAAAAAGTTATCAAACCACAGTTACTCACTAGAGCTTTCACATGTTGAATAACACCAACATTTTTTACGGAGAACGTCAATTTTTCTACTGGTAAATTATCAGGATTCTGAAAGAACACAAATAAATAGAAAATAAACTCTCTGGAAAAATAAATGCATAGTCAATATTAATCTTACTGAAAATTCATCATCGGTCCTATTACTAGACATATTTCCACGGACAATCTGATAAAGTGTTAACTGATTATTACTTAAAGTCAGCTGTCTAAACAAATACAAAGCAATACGGCACAAAGAAATAAAAACTTATAATTGAAGGAAAGGAATTTTAACTTTTCCTCTGTATTTTCCTACTTGACTTTTGAGTTTTGACTAGGGATGCTCGATATTCTTCGATGTTGAATAAACATCGATGTTTAACTGGTAAACATCGATGTTTTAAAATTGATGGGTTGACTTCGATATCATCAAAATATCGATTTTACATGAATAAAAATATCGAAACATCAATTATTCTTTTGGGCGCCGACTAGCGTGCATTAGATGTACTAGTTTCAACTAAATGTTGCATAATATTGCATAGTCATAGACGATTGATAGCAGATGGTTATCAAGTTGCAACTATTTTCCACTTGATGACACTGATCAAAATAATCGGAGTAAGGCCAAAGCCGTATGTACGAATAAGTTTTTTTTATTTCTCAAAAGATAAAAAAATACTGTCAACTTCAATTACATACGCTCAGCACGCGTCATTCTTTCTTAATGAGTATGATGAGTGAATGATGAGTGAGGTGTTGTTTAGTGAGTAAATCTGTGAAGCGGAAGCTAATTTACTATTGATTTCGCAAATAATGAAACTTCGTAAACGAAATAACAGGTAAGGTAACATTATTTACATTTTTATTCTGTATTGTATTAATATTTCTTTCTATTTTTTTCTTATTATTTTTGTGATGGCTAGGTTTTTTTTTTATTCGGTAATAGGTAAGCGCTTGACCATAATTCGCCTAATGGAAAGCAATATATGGTCTACGATGGAGCGCGCTTACCTAATAAAAACCGGTTCACTCTTGCTTTGAAGACCGCTAGATTGTAGTGCTCGGAGAACAAGGGCTCAGGCAAGGAATTCCACAATTACAAGGAATTCCAGGTGTCTCAGTAAAAGTGCACTTTTTAAATTTAGTTTTTTTTTCGTACCAGTGTCATCTCTGCAATTTGACGGGTTGCTCTCACCTATGTTTACTCTCATTATTAAACATGGAGCGCTTTAAGATGACCTGTCATCAGAGCCGTGGGGGCCTTTTGCTGAATATTTTATTTCATGTTTGACCGGAACATAATTTACTTTAGAATCCAATAAAAACATTGCAACTCTCTCAAAAAATACATGTTTATATTTTAATAGTAAAAGGTACACTCTTACTGAGACACCCTATCTAATAATTAAAACATTTCATAAATATAATAGACAGTTTATTTTGTTTCCAAAAACATCAACGTTTTAGCCATATTAATGTTTTTCAATCAATATTTATCGTATATCGATACTTTTGATTCGATATTTCTCTAATATCGATCATCCCTAGTTTTGACTTGACTTGGCATGGACACAGACTGACAGACACAGACACATTAAGCTGAGACTTCACTTGGTTATTCGTATTTGGTATATGTAAACTTGACAACAGTCTGTCTGTCTGTCTGTCAACAGGAGTTATTAATTTTTATGGAATGAAAAGGACAGTCTAACGTGAAGTAGATTAATACCAAATACGAACAGCCAAGTGAAGCGCCGGCTATAAGCCGGCATATTTCAATCGGCTATAGACAGGTTTGCCAGAAGTGATTTTAAATTAACGGCAGATTAAGAATGGTTTTTTGCCAAATTGATACCTTTTCAGCAAAACCGCCAAATCTTGTTTTGGCAAAAATACATTTTTTTAGCAAATACGAATAGCTTATAATAGGGAAGTGTTAGCATTGACAAGGTTATTTGTGTTAGCTATTTGAAATTTTGACAACAGTGTATCCTAGTTATACTCTTTATAGAATGAAAGGTCGAGAATGCACAAACAGCAAATACATAACTATGGCTATGTTGTGTAAGCATGGCAGGCAGGCACGAAGCTATCATAACTTCGTGCAGGCAGGAAAGTTTCAAAGTTTTACAAAAAAGTAGAAGTATTTTTGACGAAATAAATATTTAAATTTGTTTAAAAAAGATTAATAAGTACATAAATATTACAAATAGGTGCATTGCAAGATAGGGGGCAGTCTTGGGGCAGTACCTATGTAAAGGTGCCATTATCGTTTCGTAGTAACTTTAGGTGTACACGTTTTTTTCGTAGTATGCCATTTCGGTTTCAGTACTCAGAACTATTACCTAACATTTATAAAGTCATGTTAAATGTACATTTGTTACACTTGGAGCCAGTGTACCAGATCGGGGTTTTTTTCGCAATTATGGGGAAAAATTTTACTCTCGGGGACAAAATTGGGAAAATGACATTTTAGGGAAACTGTTGGGAAAACAACATCTTTAGGAAAACTGTTGGGAAAAATAAATATATTATGGGAATAGCACTTCTAAAACATATGGCAATGAAATGAACGTTGACTTCAAGACTTGTTTATAAGTTTGATGTCAATTTCAAATTGGCGATACTTCATAAAATAAAACAAGGAGAAAAAAGGAGACCTTTCTGATTTTTTTGCCGGTTCTTGTTGTCTCCCGCCATAGATTTGTGAACAGATGGCATAGCTTTAGAATTCAATAAATGAATTTTGATTTTGTTTGTCTCTGAGATGGGTTGAGTAGTGGTTTTATTCGAGGACCAAGAGGGCCATAGCCCAGGGCGGCGGGAGCCACAAAAAGGCATCCTTGCTGACCTAGATTTTGATTTGAATTATTAATTCTAGGGGATGGGTGTAAATTGTATATCATATTGGCGTGCTCTGTGCGTGAGTGTGAGAACATTTTAAAATTGCTAGTTTCATTTAGAAAAACTATCATTTTGGGGAAATATAAAAATCTGTTTGAGGTAATCATAAAATTATATCTGGCAACCCTGCTCGGAGCGTAGGTTTGGAACGGAACTAACGAAGCCCGCCCTGTAATCTGTGCTCTAATTTTAACCGGTAGGATTTGTTTTATTCATCGCATAAAATAATTCATTTTACAAGTATTTGTGTTATATTTTATCCGTGAAAGCCTATGATGATGGGAAACTTAAAGTGCATTCAAAAATAAAATGCATACAGTTACCGGATAAGGATTTGCAGATTACAATATTTATAATTTTATTATACACAGGAATATGATGAGGAATGGCTGTGATAGTAAAGTAAAAAAAACTCTAGTAAGGAACATTGAACACAAAAGGTTTCCAGAACCAAAAGTACTTGCGAGCCATGACATGGGCTGCTCCAAAGATGGGTCATCCTCAAAACCTAGTTCTCCTCAACCTGTTGACCTCGGACAGCCTTCTCTATGCTCTAGTGAAACATTAGCTCATTATTTGTCTGATTTTAAAAACACAAAACGAACTCCAAACAAAGAAGAAGATTTGAAGCAAGACAAACATATGTTAGAAGCAAAAGTGAGTATTTATTAAAATAATTTAGACTTGTTAAAGATAAAATTGCCATACAAAAATTTACCTTTTAGTTATTACAAATTATTATCAAAAACTGTAATTTGTGTATTTCAAGCGAAGGTAGACAGACATTCTTAAATTATTTGTACTTTAAAATTATTTTTTGTATTATTTTCAGGTTACAAAGAAGTTGAACTTCCATTTCAATGACAGAATATACAAAAATCTTATTGAACTGAACGCTAGTGTTAGTGATACAAAAATTAAAAAGGATAAAAAACCATCCAGTGCCAAAATTAAAAGGGACTTGGAACCAAATATAGAAGATTTTTGCTATGATGATAAAGAAAGTGATGTGGTGCCAACAGTGCCAATAATACAGTTGAAATTTAAACCTATCAAAAAAGTGGACAATGGTCAATTACATGAATTAGTAGCATCATTTGAAGATTTATGACCACAAATAAAATTATTTTTAACTGTAAATGTGTTTTTTTTTGTTTCATGCAGATATTTGATGTTGGTATATGAATATTGGGTTTGCTTTTATGCATCAAGAAAATCACCAGATTATCATTTTTGAGACTGTAATTTCTTCTATTAATGTTTTCTAAAGATTTATATTTTAAGCAATTCACCTCTGTGTTCGGCCATTTCTAGACAAAAATATTTTAGCTTAAAATCAGAGCCTTCCACTACGCTTTAACTATTTGATACTCTTTAGGAAAGAAGGTGCACAGAATGAATAATACAGTCAGTTAATCACAAAAACTAATTAAAATGTAGTAGATGAAAATATTTAATTCTGTTCTTATGTTTACATTGGTTTTTTTAGATGAATAAGAACGATATTTCGGGGTAATTAGTGTTTCAAATATTAAGTGGCAACAAAATCAGGGTACTGGTGGTAATGACATAACTAAAAGATAAGGAACAGAGATATGGAAGAAGAATAAATTCCATCAGTTCTCGCGAAACCAGTCCATTCGCCCGGCGGCGCTACCGAACGAACGACCGTGCAGCGCCGACTCGCTTGCTCTGTCAGAAAGAGACGCCCATAGTATCATCTCTTCTTTCACCTGCATTTTGCCAATAATTTTGATTCATTCATTCAAAATTCAGTTCACTACTCAGTCAATTTCCGACATTTGTTCGTTGCGGTTGTGGTTACAGTGCGGATAATAAATTAAATACCTTCACAAACGAAAACTTACATTTTGTTTTATTAAAAAATAAATAAGAAGAGAAACGCCATGGCTGAAACGGAAATAATATCTAGTAGTGAAAATAATGAGCAATTTTTTGAAGGTGTTGAAAAGTTGATCGAGATTTGGTTTACGCCGGCCAAAAATGCAGATTTAAGAAAAATCACTCGGTAAGTGTGCCAACTTCATTTAATGTTAGTTAAAATCTCTAGACAGGTTACCGGCTTTTATCTCTGTAAATTATAACCATAACGGTCTAGTACATTTGTTAGGAGTATGCGTCACAATATCGTGAGGCCCCTTTGCAATAACTCAGGAGGTTTTGCTGAAGATTTCTGTCTGAATGTAGCACAAAATGTTATGTTTTTGTTATGGAATGTTCTGGATCAGCTGTTTGACTATTTTAAACAGCTTGGGATTGGTCGCGCTTGCTGTGGTGTGGTTGGCTTGACGGAAGCACAGCCGCCGTCCCACGCGGCCCCCGCGTGATTCAAAAGCAGATGTTAGTTAAAGTTTGAATAAAATAATGAAAAGTTCTAGGTATCTACAAAATTTTTGGGTAAAAATTACAGAGACAGTTTATTAATGATTGCTCAACCTAAATATTAATTAAAATTTATGTTAGGACAATGGTGTCGATTGTGGCATGATTCTCTAATCCTAAACTTTAATTTGACAACAGTGTATCATTCTCTATACAGAATGAAATGGAGAGACTGATGTTAAATTTAGTTCTGAGTTTAGAGTATCACCCCAGAATTGACACCAATATTCGGATAAAAAGTTTACATTTTGTATAATTCGTTATTGTGTTTTAATTTTTTGTCATCTGGAGTTATGAAGTGGGATTTTTATTTTCAGGAAACAATGGGAAAATGTACTCAAGATAGTCCGCTGTGAAATTATCTCTTTCACACAGAGCGAGCTGGTCGATGCTTACGTGTTGAGGTAAGTTTATATTGCTAATAGTTATAATTAAGATATCTTTTTAATAGATAAAGATATCTATATATATAACATATATATATTTATATTTTATATAACACAGTGTTTTGCCCTTAATATCGTGGAGAGTGAATGAGAAAACCATGTGTGTTTACTGTTGTCTGTGCTCCTTAGCAGGCACAGTGGATGTTCTTTCACTTATTATTATTATATCATATGCTTGTTTAAAAACTACAAAAGGAAATACTACTAAAACTAATGCTTATAAATCTGGTAATAGTTAAGATTACTATGACATCACTAGAGTAAATAATTAAAACAGAACATTTACCAATATCAGTTGTAAATATAGATTTTAGATTTTGTAAAAATAAAAGGTGCGCATATATTTCACTTTTAAAAGTGGATCAATACCAAATACACTTTTTTATGAAAAAAAAAAATGAGTTCTATAACTAATTCCCAACATTAATGCCCTGAGGTGTTACTCTAAGGAGGATGTATTATTTATTTATTTAGGGAAAAATACAGCATTAAAAATACATGTTAGTTATGCCATTAAATTTACAAATTTGCAAAAAAGTTTCCACTATTATTTTAATACATAAGCCCCTTTATTAATAAACAAAGAATAAGCTTCAATTAGTTATTCTATGTTTTTGTCTCTGTCTATTGAATGACAAATGGCATTTGAGTGACATGAACAAAACACGGCGTAACTGGTCTAAGCTTATTCCTTGTTAATTAGGGGGGGCTAAGATGTTTAATAATAATAATAAAAGCATTTTTTTCATACACGAGATCCATATCAAAATTAAAAAAAAAGAATAACAATTACATAAAAATAAATAATAATAGCAATAAAAGAATACATTTAAAAACACATATGTCAAATTAAACGGAAATAATATTGAATTAAAAATAATTAAATTAAAACAGAATAAAATAATTTAAAACATTCAGTTAATGACAATCATCGCTGTAAGCAGACTTCAAAAGGAAGCAAACTAAGTATTAATTTTACTTTTTATGTTACAATAATATAATAATAAATTGTAATAATGGATCAAGTGATGGCTTGTTCATGCGTCATGCTCGTGAACAGGTGCTGCCAGCGGAGATGAGTTTTCTCTTGCAACATTTGGTACTATTAATTGTTTACTAAACTTTAATCGTTCATTTTTTTAAGCCTAAACAGTAGAACACAGCATTCCTAAACTTTGTTTAGCCAGTTTTTTTATATTTTTTTTTTATTTTATAGTCACAATTTTTATATTATTTGCATTTGTAGTGGAAAGTGATTTCATGAGTTACCTCATATTGAAGTCATTTTTCAATTTGACTACTATGTAATACAGGAAGAAAAAAACAGCCCTTGCTGAGTTTCTTGCCGGATCTTCGCTGTACAAGGTCTCCCGCCGTAGATTTGCGAACCGATGGCGTAGCTTTTCGACATTCACAAATGCTTGTAACAGCCAAGACTGAATAAACGATATTGATTTTACATTTTGCTAAATTGGATATTGTAAATTTTTCTTTTTCTTTTCCTACTAAATAAATCTATTTCACCATAATTAAAGTTGCAGTTACTCATTGCTCTTATGATAAAATGTTTTTTTATATATAATGTCTCTCTCATTCTATTGTGAACAGAATTAATGACGTCATTGATATAATCTAACTAAGATATAGGTAATAGGTTTCTATGCTATTATTGTGCTGTTACATAAGGTTATTGATACAAAGTGCAAGTATCATCATTGTGCAATCAGTTTTTACTGAACTAATCTTGATTAATACTTGCATTAATACTGGTTTCATGTCAACTTCATGTTTTATGGCAGAGTAGATTATGAGCAGAGATCTTAGGGGGCGTCCATAAATTACGTGAGGTGTGTTTTTGAATTTTCTGCCCCTCCCTCCCCCCCTTGGTGAGATGTCGTGAGATTTTATTCAACCCCCCCCATCCCCCAATCTCACGTGAGATTTTTCAAAATGTGGGTTTCTTACGTAAACACTTTGGTCTATTATTGTAAAATGAAAAAAAAAATGCTTCGTGCTTTTAATTACGACTAGTTAAGACTAGTAATCAATATTGCTGAGAGCTATAAGTGTAATAAAAAATTAAAAATTAAATACTTAAATCGTTACGCTTAAGATTAAATCTTAAGTAGGTATGTACAATCTGGATTAAATGGGCCAAAATTGTATATATATTTTTTTGTTTCAATCAGAAAAAAAATTGCGTGATATTTTCCGAGACCCCCCATCCCTCCAACGTAAAATTAGATGAGATTTGACTCGACCCCTCCCCCCCTTAAACATCTCACGTAATTTATGGACGCCCCCTTATAATCCTACAAAGTAGAACAGTGGCATGTTCAAAAAAATAAGTAAAACTGATAAATGTATCTATAGGTAGATAGATTATCTGTGTATATTATTAGAAAAGATAAAACAATCATAGAAGTCAATAAACCGTATGGTTTTTATGATTGTATAAACTTTAATCACACCTCACAAACAATATGAATTCTGTTGACAATAATAAACAACGAGGAATTCGTTATTCATCCCACTTTTCATTAATTTTGCATCAGTTTTGTTGATACAAAATTCATTTTGATCACTTAAATTATCCAAATATTATGCTGAAAATTTTTTACTTAGAAGTGTCATTACGAGCCCCCACTCCCAAACTTGGATGCACTTTATCTTTTTGTAATTTTTTGGTTGATCCACAAATTAAGGCAAAAGGTAAGGTAAGTTAAGTGTCCATTATTTTTTGATTATTTAGCTGATGGAAAAAATAGAATTTCGTTCTATTTACCGCGTTATCATCCCTATTTCCATTGTTATAATTATCGCTCATTGGATTTGCTAATTGTTTTAGAATAAAACATCTTATTATCACATTATCTGGGATCATATGCCAAGTCAACGAATCCAAGATAATGAAACAGAATGTTCTTGAAGCAGGAAATAATAGGTAGTACTTATATAATTCATAATTACCTATATTATGTGAAAAAAAAGATTCTCGGAACTTTCAAAATTTGATATGATTATTGTCAAATGTTACGCAAATAAACAACTGAAGAAATTACAATAACCTTATTGTATTGTAATTCTTGTTAAACTATTACTATATACATAGGTCTCCTTCCTGCATAATCAAATTGTGTCAATGGCATGGAATTTATTTATTTAATGGTGTGTGTTACATTATGTGTATATAAATCCCTTCGTTAATGGTTATATTGCTAAATATTTGTAATTTTAAATGTATTGGGCACCCTTTTTCAAAAGAATTTAATATAACGCGGAATTTAATATAACATTGCTTATATATAAGCAAACACTATAGGTAAAAAATCTTTAAAAGAAGAAAAATATTGGGATACTTATCAAGGTTCTGTACCCGTCGTCTGTTATGGCCCGAACTTACATGCAGGTCACGGCACGTTACTAGCGCTGAACAAACCGCGGAGGGGATAGCTGCGCATGGGCACGACTGGAGAGCCAATCGGCGCAACGCACGCCCACCCGTTTTTTTTTTTTTTGAGTGTGTATGCTGTTGGTCGCAGATGACCTTTACAGCGTCACCAGGTTTGGGGACGGCGAGATCCTAAGGGGACCTCAAGCCGAGAATTGGCGAGTGCCTCTGGAGGTATTCCAGTCGGATGGCGTCTCCCCACGGGGGGAGTCTCCTCTCCGTCTGGAGCCTCCAGACCACTCGAACTTAGGGGGGTCGGCTCAACTAGAGGGCGTCTCCGAGACTCGGACCTCGGCTCTAGTTAGCCGTTGTCGTGGGGGGCGGGGAAAAACGCCCAGGTACGTACCTGTACCTGGTATAGCGTCTCGTGTGTAGACCGGGTCTTCGCACTCTTATCCTACGGGTGCGGTGTCTGCCTAATGCTAAGCTAGTGTGCACGTTTGCTAGCTGTGTAGTGTTGGTGTTTGTGGCCTGTGTGAGAGGAATCGGAGGCGCGTTGGCGCGTGTGATTTCGTCGTCGAGGTAGTCGTAAGACGTGCCTAGGCCGACGGAATCGGGACCTACGGACGGGAGGGCGGACGTATGATAACTACTCGCTTTTACGGGGGTTCGGGTGATGCGCGGCTTTATCGAAGTAACGCCTCGAGGCGTCCTTCATATACTTCGCGATGGAGTCTAATTTGAGGTAGCGATGCAAATCGATGTTGCGCACGTACCACGAGCAACCCGTGGCACCGCGCAACACACGATTTTGCAGCGTTTGGAGTGGTTTAAGACGCGACGGAGGTACGTGGGCGAAGCAAACACTCGCGTAGGTGATGATAGGGCGGATGCAAGTTTTGTAAATTGTCAACTTATGTCTAAGTGACAACTTACTACGCTTCCCTATAAGGTGGAATAGCCTGCCGCGAATGAATGCTGCGTGATCGCGAATTATCTTGAGATGAGGTGCAAACGTTGATCGGTTGTCTAACGTAACACCCAAGTACTTGACCCGGTCCTCCCAGGGGATGACCCGGTCAAATAGTTGGATGCTCGGAAGAGATCGCGTGGGAGGTGGTGTCGTGCTAAAGAGGATCGCGACGCTTTTCTCCGGATTAACCTCGATACGCCATCTACGGAACCAATCGCCAAGGGTGGTAGCGGCTGATTGAAGTCTATTACAGACTGTCTCGAGACGTCTATCGGAGGTAACGCCCACCCGCGCACCTCGTTTCCCCCCAAGACATCTTAATTTTTACTTCTGTGTAAAAACGGTCAGCGCTAGAGTTACCATTATACAGGTTTTAGAGGAAACGCTTTGAGCTAGAATTTGTCCAGAAGAGGCGCTTTGAGCTTGAATTTGGCCAGAAGAGGTGTTTTCAATCGCGTTTATATATTCATTGATCCAGATTCTGAATGGATTGTTATTAGTCACTCAACCTTATGATAGCGCAAAGAAGTACGAATGCGTGTAAATTATGCGTTTCGTCGGACAGGCACTTACGTAGCTTTCATACAAAACATC